AAATTAAATATTTTTAATGTTGAAATTTGGATTATAAGTTAAAAAAGTCGATATATTCATAGAGAGCAAAAAATTTATTTCAGTTTATTATAAAATTAATCAAATCTTTGTTATTTTAAATTCAACCCTATGAATATTATTCAAAAAATCAAAATACTAATAAATTGCTTTTCAACGATATATTAACATGTTCCTATACCTAAACCTTCCGGTTTCTTAAGTAGAGTTATTTAAAAATTAACAATTCGATTATTATAGTTTCATTTTAAGAATTTCGGTACCATGACAATTTCTTATAAAGTTTGAATATTTGTCATGACAACGATTTTCTTTAAACAAAACAATTAAAATAGAATTATTATCTTTTAAATGGCTTTAATGAAGAAACCAGAAGGTTTAGGTATAGGAACATGATGCTATCTTTGAAAGGCAATTTTATTTGGTTTTTCATTTTTCAAATAATATTCATACGGTTGAATTTAAAATAACAAAGATTTGAGTAATTTTATAACAAATAATTATTTTTCTTGACCTCCCTGTTTGATATTCAATTGGTTTATTTAGGCAGATGGAATATCAAAATAAAACACTAAATCACCACAATACACCAAAACACTTTTACACTGGACGCGCGTTTCGCTAACCATGTTAGCATCATCAGCAGATGATTATAAACTCCATTTATAATCCACTCCAGTTTATAATAATCTGCTGATGATGCTAACATGGTTAGCGAAACGCGCGTCCAGTGTAAAAGTAAAAGTGTTTTGGTGTATTGTGGTGATTTAGTGTTTTATTTTGCTGTGTAACACCAAAGGTTCCAACCCTCAACTGTAATCAGATGGAATATATCGACTTTTGTTAACCTATAACTCAAACTCTAGCTTTCAATATGCCGAATTTATGATTTAACCAATGCTTATTTAAGATTATGTTTTTGTCAATTTTACCCATGTTTTATTTTTTATCTCGAAAGCTATCAGAGATAGGTAAAGGTTAGTATAATATAAAAATTATGAAATATCAAAGTAGTTTTATGTAATAATATGTGGGGTTCCATTTAAAATAGAAAAATTGTTACTATTTTTAGTATAAAGCGGCAACACTGTAATGCTGAAAATAATTTAGACAGATGGAGCAGGTGCTTTTATGCAAAAATCGGAATTTTCAAATTGGAAAAAAATCCTATTGTTCTCCATAAACGTCTAACGTGCCATGGCATTGAATCACCCTGTATCTATAATAATTAAATTACATATTATTATGTTGACTTGTCTTGCCTCACGAATCTGGCAGACTGACAATAAAATTTAAAGAAAAGAAAATAAAGAAGAGCATGGGTCAAGTATTCCTCAGCCGTCTGTGACGCCGTTTTTTTCGATCGTATGGTATATCTTCGTTGAATAAGTTTGTAAAACAACGAACTTTAAATCGCTTGTCCAGTGTAAATTAATGACCCTAAACAGCGATAAAGTCAACTCAGATGTAAATTCGAATTCTTTAGAATCTGTTTTCGTTGACTGGTGTCCGAGATGACGCAACTTCACGTCGTAAAGGAACATTTAGAGCCGCTAATTAAGCCTTTAAACTAAGGCTACAGCTGCGATGAGCTGACCGTCACGCAGGCGATCCATTTCAACTATAGCTATGCAGGGTTTTTCTCGCAGCAGGAGACAGCGTTCTCGTTACGAACCGGACACCTACTGATCCTTGTTTCCTGCTGACATTTGCTTCCTGCGGGAAACAGGTGAGCTGCGTATGTGTGCGAGTTATGCGCCATAACATGTTTTTAAAAGTAATAAGAAAACGTGCCAGTCTTGTATTATTAATTAATAATATACCGTGCTGGCAACTGTTACGTATGGGTCGGCATTTATATGTGTGGAAGTAAATCGCATAGGGATCTTATTAAGTCGGAGTGAGACAAATGCGACCGACCGACGCGACGCGCGACGCGACGGTGTGCTGTTGCGGCGTTGCCGATACGCCTTTCCCTATCAAGTAAAGTAAAATCACGATCGCAAACCGCTTATTTTTAAAAGGCTTTTTTTCAAGAGATAAAATCTAGATAAAATCATTAGACATGTTTCTGAGCATCTGAAATGGAATTATAAGGATATCGTTAGGGTGTCATTTTTTTTATAACGAGAAAACGTCAGTAATCGCGATAATTTAAATACTCAACTTTTTAACACATAACAGGCCATAACTCAAGAACCACTTTAGATATTGAAACTTTTTTTTCTTTTCAAGATCGGATATTTTACAATATGTTTACATAAGAAAAATTCGATAAGGTTGTTTTTTCCATTCAAAAATTGTAAACAATCCATCCATTTACTTTTAGAGCATAGCAATTTTCAGCAATCGTGTAATTTTTTTATTGATAAAGATTTTCACATATTGTGAAAGAATATACAGCAGAAATATTAACAAAGTTCTTGAAAAAACTACAATCTATTATTTCTAATAGATTTCGAGGTATCGATTTTTGAATTCAGAGTTCTAATAGCGCGACCACTATCGAACACCCACTCAATTCCACTTATTTTTACCAAAAATGCAAGTATTTCTAGCTTGCACTTAAAAAAAATCAAGCTATAGGGAAAATTACAACGACTCGTTAATAAATAAACAAATTAAGTATCACGAGACGTAATTAAATCGTGAAGGTGAACGCATGACGTACACCTTTCCCTAGAACTTTAAGTACTGACAGAGGTATTGATTAGGTCGATAGGTCAACTGCGACAAATCACTTGTGTCTAGCCCTAGGGTTCTGTTTGAGTGATGAATTTCTTAGATATTTTCCTATAATAGTCTAAATCGACCACACAGGTGTAGACATTGTTTACTATTATTGGTTGTTACATGAAAGTTTGTGGTTTGTTTAGTTCGTTTTTTAGGACAAGAAGGAAAATTACTCTGCAAAGTGATGAAATATTTCCTCACTTTAGGGAAATTTGATTAAATTGTTTTATCAGAGTAAAAAACCACGAAAATAATAGTCTCGGATCGATGCATTTAACTAAGTGGAGCAGGCAAAATTCTGTGTTTATTTACATGAAATATCTATTAGAGACAAAAAATATAGGTACTCCTATACAAAAGTGCTTCGTTTATCCGTGAAGGGCAACAAACTTAAAAAAAAAGAAACACCTTTATTTAGACATATTCAGAACCGTTACTCCGATTTGAATGAAATTTTGGGTGATTATGTTTGCCAAGTTAGAGTTGCTTTAACATTTGACTTTTTTAAAAATCAAGAAAAAGTACGGGAAGGGTGAAAACTACCCTCATCCCTGCATAAATTTTAGTATAGAAATATTTTCCAACTCCACCGTAGACCACCACGTTTTTTTTGGTAAATAGTCCTTCTAGTGTTTACTACATTTTCTGTCTTTTGTAAAAGAAAACGACATGGCATAGTTCTTAAGAAAAAAATTGAGATTTATTTTAAAAGTAAACCTTCAAAATATAGTGGGAATATTCCGTGGATATTAAACAACTACGTATTTTTGAATCAAAATAAGTAAATTGTACACTTCTATTCAAAAGTGCTTCATTTGTCCGTTAGAGGGCACCAATCAAAAATAAAGCAGAACGTTGGTTAGTTTAAAATTTATGAAGCTTATTATCCAAAATTATATGGGGAATGTCAGCGTTTCAAAATATCTTAAAAATGTGTTTTATATTTTTAAAGTTTATAATTCCCTCTAGCGGTAAATTGTGTCCAATGAACTAATTTGGATTCCAAAAATGTATACAGGTTACAAAAATGTATACAACTGTATTCCGGAAACTTCGGCGGCATATTTTCGATGGGCGATTTTTTCCAAATAATTTATGAAGTAACGTCAATATTTGGATAAAAATTGATGTCTGATGATGATGTATTGATGGGAGTTTTTTGACATGAGAAACTTGATTTTCATGTCAATATGACTCCTATATGTAAAGGGCTCCACCTACATATTTTCTAACTGGTTTGAATAGTAATACCTTTTTGTCCATACCTGTATAAAACTAGTGAGTAAAAAAATATACAGTTACGACTTTTTTTAAGTAAAGAAGGTCTCTTGGTAAAAATCGCTACGAGTAATGGTTCTCGAGATATTTAAATATCTCGATTGGAATCGAAATTATCAATACATTCATTGTCATTTATTGTCATCATTGACACAAATTAAACATGTTGACTAAATACCGCATGATCGAAAAAAAAACGGCCTCCAGTTGGCTTGGCAATGACGATCGATGACATTTCCCATATAATTTTACATATAAAATGACAGCGATCTTAATTTCGTAGCCATCGCTGACGCCGTTTTTATTCGATCATATGATTGTTTTAGACTGAAATCATAAATTTGAAATGTTTTTGTGCCAAAAGTTCAACAGAAACTGTTTAATCATAAGTTTTTCGCATAAAAATTTACGATTAATTTAAAAAAATACAAATTTATTATTTCAATCAAATAACTATACTCAAAGTGTGCTTCACTCAGTAGTTTTATACTAGCTAGGAACGAAAAGTTATTACTCTTCAAAACAGTTAAGACACATGTAGGTGACTCCCCCCTACAAATAGGAGTCATATTGACATCAAAATCAAATTTCTCATGTCACAAAACTCCCGGACACCAATTTTCATCCAAATATTGACGTTACCTCATAAATTATTTGGAAAAAATCGAAATAAAAATGAAAGTTCTACAGCCTGTATCTCCGAAACTAAGCATTTTTGGACATAGTACATAAACTGTTTTGCTTATTTAAAAATAATTTATAAACTTTTTTACTTATTTTTATCTGCAGAATATGCTACCGAAGTTTCCGGAATACAGTTCGGACTACCCTGTATAGTAGTTTTATGTCTACAGAATATTGTCACACCGTGTATATGCTAGACTCAATATCAGTACCTAATACTTAGTAGGTACCTAATACTTCACAACTACAAATACAGATGAATATTCAAGAAAAACTTGATCACTTACCTTGCGGATGAGGTATACTAGCAACTTTATTCCCACTAAGGTAGTCGTCTTTACAAATAAATTTATTATCGTCCAACACATAAAGTTCCTCGCCTGTTGACAACTGTTTCCGGCATACTAAGCATGTGAAGCAATTTAAATGGAACACTTTGTCCCTAGCTTTCCTCACTAAATCCGACGGTGATATGCCCTGACCGCATCCGCCACATTTTGTACCATATCGTCTGTAATAAAAAAACAAATATAAGTTTAAATCTATAGAAACTGTGAGTTACACATACTGAAAGTTAACAAACCGTCACTCTGAAGCTCAGTAGTGTCAAAATATACACATAAATCCGCAAAATTCATCATTATCTATTTATAGTTGATGCTTCGCAGTATGTACACGTTTATAATAATTCTACTCCACGCCCCTGTGGCCTAATGGATAAGGCATCTGCCTCCTAAGCAGGGGATTGTGGGTTCGAGTCCCACCAGGGGTACTTAACTTTTTTATTTTTTTTTAAATAAAAATTATCTTGTTTTAATTTTTCTATTTAAACTACGTGTTTTGTATATTCTGAAAACAGAAAAGTATTTTGCTTCAAGAATTTGTTGTACAGGATGAGTCAACAATAAAGTCCATTAGATAATTTGATTCGAGATTTACAAAAAAATGTTAAATATAAAAGTTTAAGGGAAGGTTAAGATACACATTTTAAATTTATTAATGGTTATACACAGTGCTTCAAAAAAGTGTGGCGGATAGAACATTTTTTTTTAAATGTAACATCCTATTTTTTATTTTATTTTCAGATTCTGGGTAAAATTTTATAACTTTTTTGAATATAGGCTAATGTTGAGAATGTTGTCAAGCATACGCGGATACAGAGGGGGGGGCCATGGGGCCCGGGCCCCCCCTTAAATCTGTAAATTGTGTTAAATCTTAGGCTTTTTTGTTAAAAATGGCGCCCTAAAAAGCATATTCTACATTACTTTTTATTTTGGGCCCCCCCTAAAATAAATTCCTGTATCCGCCCCTGTTGTCAAGAAATGTAATGGGCAAATTATTACAAAAATCAATTATCACAATTTTGATAATTTTAAATTATCCTAATGTAATAATTAATTACATTATGATCATTGAATTTTGAATCAATCGTTTTGGCATTTTCTGCCAGTTTTAGAGATATTCTATTAATAAATTTGTAATATAATAAGGTGATGGAAATACTTTAATTTTTTTATTATTATTTAAATTTAAATTAGTCCCAATTTCAAAGTTGGGTTTTTCGTGAACCACTCATTAGATTTTGATGATTTTTTTTTAAATTGTAAATTAATTCCTTCTTAAATTCACAATTTATTTTGAGCATATACAGGGCACAACAATAAGACGAAGTTTTTTGACCGAACTTTGTAACACCCTCTAGGATGCAGCAGCTGTAGTAGCTATTGCTAAATCAAATCAAATGGTAGCCTCATCTTTTGTGAGCATTTTGTTTTTTTAATGACGACATTATCTCCGTTTGTATTAGAGCTACGCTGCTTTAAAACAAACGCCTCGGAACAAGATTTAGTCCATTGCTCAATATCCCAATTCACATGTAAACGCGCAAACTGAAGATGTTTTCGACGATGGAAGTAGTTAGCATCCTGTGGCAGGCCTCCTTGCAGACAAGCTGTTTTCTTTTAGTCGTCGTCGGATTGTTCTCTCACTGACTTGAGTTCTACGCACTACTTGTAGCAGATGTTGATTCTGAAACGCTGTAATTATACGATTTCGTAAAGTATTCAGGACAATAAAGCGGTCGTCAATTGCATTTTTTTGCGTTTTCTTCCGTAAAATTTCCCGATTCCAGGCATCCTGGACTGTTGTTCGAAGTATACCCAGGGTATCGGACACATAACGTTGACTTTGGCCATCCTCAATTAAAGCCACAATACGAGCAACATCCGTCACAGATAATGGTAGTTTTTAATTTGACAACCATTGTTGTCATATTGCAAATATTCATAAATCCCTTTTCGTGTATGTCGCCTTGATTATTTACAGATAAAAATTTCTGCCTGCGAAGCATTTTTCCGAGACGTAGGTTTTAAAGCAGCGTATCTCCAATAGAAACAGAGATAATGTCGTGATTAAAAAAACAAAATGCTCACAAAAGATGAGGCTACAATGTGATTTGATATAGCAATAGCTACTACAGCTGCTACACCTTACAGGATGTTACAAAGTTCGGGCAAAAAACTTCGTCTTATAGTTGTACCCTCCATATGTTCAAAATAAATTCGGAATAGAAATTTCTGACGTAGCATCCGTTAAGAAGGAATTAATTTACAATTTAAAAAAAATCATCAAAATCTAATGAGTGGTTCGCGAGAAATCCAACTTTGAAATTGGGACTAGGTTTTAGTGGCCGGTTTTTTTTTTGCCGGTGAGTTTAGTTAGACAAAAAGTTGAAGAAAGAATATTGAAAAACAAAGACCGGGTATTCACAAAAAATACGGCATAATAAAAAAGAAGCGAAACATTTCTCCGTTAAGGGTCGGTGCCGCGAGTTGTTTATTTTACGAGCGGGCCACGGGAATTTTAAGACCGTTTACGACCTCCCTGCCTCCCGGGTCAGCCATATTTCCCGGCGCAACGAACGAACCGCCGAGCGAACGAATAAATCCGCCCGTTCGCCGATATATATATGCGATCGGCCCCCCTCCTTCTCCTCCTTTGTGATCCCCCTTCGTGTTTCCCCAACGAACTCTCGTTAAACCAGAAGGGTTTTTGCAACGGTCAGATTTCAGGAGTGCTAAAAGTGCTGACGATTATATAAATCTTTATGACGTTGTATTGGAGCAAAATTGCAATTTTTTAATTTTTTTTAGTTACGTTATAATGAGCATAAAGTGCAATTCTTGGTCAAAATCTATGTTTTATGTGCTATTTGATAAAAATTAAAAGTTTTTCGTAATTTTTTCGGTATCTACTTCAGTCTTAGATACAGAATGGTGAAGTGCTCTGTCTGGTCTGTTTTGTTGTTATATGGTGAGGAAGCATGGACACTAAAGCTGGCAACAATAAACAGAATTGTAGCCTTCGAAATGTAGACTCTACGACGAATGCTATAAGAGTATCCTGGATCAACCGTGTGAGGAATGGCTTGAGGAATGGCCTCTAGACATTCTCAGAAGAACTGGTCTAGAAGAAAGTGAACTCTTCGAAATCATCAAGAAGAGGAAAATAGCCTATTTGGGACACATACTACGTGGAGAACGCTATCACTTTCATCGTCTAATTTTCCAGGGAAAATCGAGGGGGGTAAAAGGGGAATAGGCCGAAGGAAGTTATCCTGGCTGAGAAATATTCGTCATTGGACAGGCATACAGGACATCCAAGCACTCCAAGTCGCTGCAATTAATAGAACCATCTGATGAGGAAGAAAAAGATGAACGCCTACGCAGGAATCTGCACGGCATAAGAAGAAAACTTTTTGAATTACAAGCTGTAATTTTTATAGTTCACTCGGTTTACATTAAATGCGTTCTTTCGCGAAATATGAAAAATGAGGGGGCAAGTTAATCTCTACGACTTCACAAATCTGTTGTGTCCCCCTTCCTTGAGTCATAACTCATCATACAGTCTCAGGGCTTTGGCAAAAGCCAGTATTTGAGTAATCTGAGACAAAAATATACATCATACAAAAATGAGCATCTCCGATATCACTCGTACCGAATGATTGTCGTCTCGGCACACTCAGTGATGAGATGTTCTGGTGATTCCCCATTTTCCCTAAAGTCTGCATTCGCCGTTGTTGAGCTTCAATCTGCTGATGTGTTCATTAAATAGACGGGTCCTGTTGAAAACCCCGTGACAATCCGAAGATTGTTCTTATTGAAATCATGGAAAATCTTTGATTTTTATCTGTGGCAAGCCTTAAAAAATTTCTTCGAATGTCTAGACCGGTGGAGGATTCCTATTCCACAAGTTACGGAAGAGTCTTCCAGGTTCTTGAGTTGTACTTTACGTTGGTCCACTTGGGAAGCAGAACGGTTGTGGTCCAGTTAGTGGAGTCAACGCTCCCTTAGTGGGCTGGCACCCAGAGTAGGTGAACTTCATTTTCCTTGCCTAATTTGTTCAGCTTCTCTAGGCATTCTTTGATCAACTTCGAATTGATAATAAGATAGTTAATATAGCTATTTCTTGTTTCCGATAGTTCCTATCTAAGATAAGTTGTAAGCATCTTTCAATAGCGTAGATTTCTGCCTGAAGGATAATGGAGTAGTTGCTCATTGGTTCGTAGTAAGTATTTAGTTTTCGGTCCAAATAGGTATCTCGCCGATCTATGCAACTGACTTTTCATTCTCCTATGAACGCTCTCTATCCAATTCTTGTTAAACCAGAAAGTTTTTCAATACTTATTTTCATAAAAAATAAAGTAATAAAATGCATTATTTAACTTTTTAATTTAAATCAACCTAGTTTAAAAGAGATACCTATTATTATTTTATTTAATTTAACTTAACCAAGTAAGTTTACTTCCCATGGTGTTATCTTAATAAACTGCACTGAAAATGAACTTGTGCAGCTTATAGATAACAGGGCTGTCAATCGGGGTTATTAATATTTTTAATGCACACCATAATTTCACACACGGAAACTAGCGTGGAAAAGTCAATAGCCAAAATTTTACGTTGAATAAATTATTCGATTGTTTTGATTACATAATTTAAACTGGCTGCCTATCTTAAAAAAATAAATAATGTATTTTTTTACCTTGTGAAAATACGTATAGAGTACCTAATATATCTTTACATTACAAATAATGTTAAAAAAAGATATACAGAGTATACCGTCTATAATATTTTCAAGATTTATAGCTCCCAGCCCAGATGCACTGTCACAAATATTCGTTGAGGATGGGGAAGCAGAATGCAAAGAGATTGTAGTACGCAATTGTAGAAGACGAAAATAAAGATTGATCGTTTGCTCCTTCGTCAATGGGACTTTAGTTTTTAGTTGTTAATATAGAGTAATGGTCGAGGGGGAAACCGCTGACCTAAATTTTGTACACCAACTTCCCTTTTATGCAAAAACTTCCTCATACATCGTTTACATCCTTTTTACTTCCTTCTGCCCCTTTTAATACTTCCTTAACAGCCTCAATACTTCCTCATACTTCCCCATATTTCCTCATACATCCTCAATATATCCCCGTACATCCTTAATACTTCCCCGTACTTCCTT